GGAGTTAGGATTCTGAACTCCAGGAGATGGCACTTCAACTTGTTTAAGCAACTCCATGTCAGATTTCCCAAGAAATCTATCATTAGAAAGAAACTTAGGAGAGCTGGCTGGTTTTTTTTAGAGAAAATTTATACAGACCTCAAGGGCTAACCAGTCTGTTGTACAGGGAACTTTGTCAGAAGAACTGCTTAGTGCACACGAAATGCTTGGTGCATAAAGTTCTTTAATATGCAAAAGTAGAGCATATTAGAAGTGGAGACAAGGATGGGAAACAGATATAAAATCACTACTCTGGCAAAAGTACTTAGGGACAAAACTAGGAAAGCCAAGGCCCAGCCATAGCTAAAACTAGTGAGAGACATAAGGGAATTGTGTAAGTATGCTAGAAGCTGAAGGAAGCTTAGACAAAATGCGTGCCTGATAATGAATGAAGGAAACAACTTGGGAGGAGGTAATACGGAAAGGTTTGAAGCCCTCAGTACCTTTTTGCCTTGGTCTTCACAGACAGAGCCTGATCTCCATGAATGATTTGGGAAGAAAAGAGATGATCAACAGCCAAGGAGCAGCAGGTTTGGGCCTACTGAGAAAACCCGACATATTCAAATCTACAGGCCAGGTAGAGTTCACTAAGATGAAAGCTTATCACCATGGTGATTATGAAGGGTGCTCAGTGACTAGAAAAGGGTAGTGTGTTAAGCCCACCTTTAATAAAGAGGGGAAGGATGATCCAGGTAAATACAGCTCAACAGTCTCACCTAGCTCCCTGGAAAGGTGGTAGATTACATCATGGCCCCTGGAATCAATTTCCAATGACATGAGGGACAAAAATGTAATCAGGAATAGGCAATACAAATTTGCCAAAAGTGAATCATATTATAGACTATCAGGTAATCTAATAACAGCCTGTACCATCTGAACAGCACTTACAACAGTGATGAAGCCCAGTCTTCTTGGGAGTGGCAAATAGTATCACAAGGAACAATGGTCCCACATCGACATTTGGTAGGACATTCAGTAAAACTAGGTAAAGATGTAGCGCTGGAAATGGATATTGAGAGAGGCTGTAGAGACACTATGCTTGAAAAGCCACATGTCAACTATACAGAGCCACGGTTTGACCTGGTATAGTGCTGGCAACAAATCTGTCTCATGCATGTTGGCCTAGACAGCCTCCAGATGTCTATTTCAACCAGCATTTCTATGATTGTGTAAACACACAGTCTGATATTTTTTTAGGATACTAAAAACCCTTCCTGAGAAAAGTTTATTTTCCAGGTTTTGTAAGCACACACTGTACTAAACAACAGATGATGGGACATGGCCTTTAGCTCACACCCAGCCTGCTTCAATCACTAGTTCTTAAACACCCATGACAACTGCGTAACAGACTAGAAAAAAGGTCTCAGCCCATAAGAGAAAACCATTCTGTTGGAAGTAGCAAAAACAAATGAAGTACTGAATTTGCAGAATAAGTAATTATTTTGCAGTAACGTAACAATTTCCTTCACAACAGAGATAGGAAAGTTTGTACTTCTGATGCCCAAGTTGCACTTATGTTTCCCAGTCAATAGGACTTATCTGCCCAACATTTCCAAAAACCCCATCAGAAATATCTCTTATTAAAAAGGCACTCCTTTCTCAGAGCAGAACTCTACTACCTAACGTTTTTCAACAACATAGAATGTGCAAATGAACTGCTAACTGCTTTGGTTGCTACTGATCACAACAGTTCCCTTATGATCACTGCAGAACACCTAAGTCAATATATGCTTTTCATTTTATCCAGAGTAATACATTGTACTCCCAGTATCTTATGAATTTATGCTGCTTCTTCAACCATTAATATCTGCAGATTTTGATCATTTGTGCAACACTGTTTTGAATTACGGCAATTAATAGTACAAAACAAATATCAGAGGACAGTTAAAATCATTGTATTTTGTGATATCCTGAATTCTGCCACTCAGAGATCACCTTTTCCTCTGCAGACATAAGACTTCCATGTCATCACTTTTTTCATTTCTTTTTCCTTTCCATCACTGTAACCTTGTATTTTGGCAACTAAACTTTGCTTCACCACCTTCTTTCCTGCAGTTCTTCTTAATGACCCAAACAGCTTTTTGGGGAGGAGACCTGTGCAACTCTATGGCAGCTCAGCAAAATTCATGTCCTCTTAATGTGGGGACTAGGCAGTAACAGAGCTGTCTAAGTGAAGAGCTCTCAATCTACAAGTGAACCAAAGAGATGCTACTGAGAACACTCTTTCTGCCATTGTTGTTTTGTAATGGGAGTGAAAAATAAATAAAAAATCACCTAAACAAAAACATACAGAATAAAAACATTTTTCAAGTCTGAGCTGATTACTGAAGTAACTGCTTCCCCCTCACCTGAACCTTTTAGAAGTTACTACTGCTCATTAAACTTCAACCATAAAAAAAATCAGCTAACATAGGAAATTTTCCAGTTTCTTTAAAGGGAAAGAATTTAATAATACGTTTACCTCTATTAATTTACCTCTATTAAGTACCTCAGTCTTCTCCTGATCCTTCGTCACTATTTTCCCTCTGTATCCAACAAAGGATGGAGATTCTCCTTAGACCTCCTTTTGTTGCTCATGCATAGACTTACAGAACCAATTTTAATTCTCTTTTATGGTAGTAACCAAATTAAGTTCTAGTTAGGCTTTGGCCCTTCGAATTTTCTTTCTGCATAACTTCATGCCATCCTTGCAGTCCTCCTGAGTTTACTGCCCCTTCTTCCAAATTCATAAACTCCCTTTTTTTTACTGAGTTCCAGACAAGGCTTTCTGTACAGCCAAGCTGGTCATCTACCCTGACAGCTCATCTTTTGACTCATGGGGATAGCCAGCTCCTGTGCCTGTAGGATTTCTTCCTTAAATCATTTACAGCCTTCCTGGACAACTTTGCCCTTCAGGACTGCCTCCCAAAGGACTGTCAACCAGGCTCCAAATTCTGACCCCTAGAAGTCCAAGGAACAGTTGTGCTAAACAACATCCTAACTTCTCCAAGAACTGAAGACTATCCTTTGTGATTGCTATGCCCAAAGACAGCCTCCACCCACCAGTCCTTCACAGTCCACTAACAGCATATCCAGCAGGGCCTCACTCCTGTGAGCACTGTCAGGAAGTTATCCTCCACATACTCCAGGACCACCTAGACTGTCTTCTCTCTGCTGCAGTGTACTTCCAGCAGACATTGCTAAGTTGAAGTTGTCCAGTAGAACAAGTCCTAGACACTGTGAGACTTCCCTCAGCTGCTTACAAAATATTTCATCTGCCTCTTCATTCTGGTTGGGTGATCTTATAACAGACTCCCACAGTGATAACCTGCCTTGTTGACCTTCCCCCCAATTCTTAAACACTCAACTCTATTATCACCAGCATTAAGTTCTAGACATCCAAAACACTCCCTAAGAGTGCTACCCCACTAGCTCTCCTTTGCCTACCCCTTCTGAAGAGTTTATAGCCATCTACTGCAGCCCTCCAAGTTGTGTGAATTATCCCACCACGTTCTGTGATGCCAACTATGTCACAGTTTTCCTGATGCACAATGGCTTCCACTGTTTTAATTCTCTATGTGTGTGATATAGCAGGTACATAACACCGTAATGTAAAAATTAACAGTGAAGACAATAACAACTGCAAGAACAACACTGTGCAGAAATGACAGGAAATTCCAAGACAAGGCACTTAACTGATATTTATTAAAGGTTTGAAAATGGAAAAACTACCAGACGCATAGAGTTCCCTTTACTCTTCTTTTAGAAGACTTCAAATTTCATTTGGAAAGACATCAAATTCTCAAGAAGGTCCAATCAAACTACTGTCTATTCAGGAAAACATGTAAAAAAATCAAGTATGGAAGTAAGATGACTGAGTTTGACAGGACCATTCATACTCTTAATATAATTCATACATGCCAATGTTTAAGATATATCAGGAGTCTAAGACAACCTGAATAATTTTTCCTGAGACAGTTTTATTGAAAGAAATCTACTCCCTAAATATTTTGCCAACTTTCAAGTACTTCTCTGCATTTTCCATGGAACACATTACAGAGAGTTGTGTGCCAGAACTGACCAAATTTGTGCATCCATCATGCACACTGCCAAGAGATACATTAGCTTAAATTTCAAGAGCATAGTTATATTATCAAAATAGCACACCTGACCTCACTAATGATATCACCATGATCAGCCAGGCCACAGCGATACAAGTTTGGTGTTAGAGCCAGCACAATCACCACTAGCTTAGGAGAGAGAAAAGACGTATCTTTTACAAGGCGTTCGGCAGAGCTGACATACCTTCACAGAATTGGTCAGGTTGGAAGGGGCCACAGTGGGTCATCTAGTCCAACCTCCCTGCTCAAGCAGGGTCATCCTAGAGCACATGGCACAGGATTACATCCAGAGGGTTCTTGAGTATCTCCAGTGAGGGAGATCCCCCAACCTCTCTGGGTGATCTGTTACAGTGCATGGTCACTCGTACAGTACAGAAGTTCTTCCTCCTGTTCAGGCAGAACTTCCTGTTCATCAGTTTCTGCCCACTGCCTCTTGCCCTATTGCTTGGACCACTGAGAAGAGCTTCCATCCTCTTGACACCCACCCTTTAGATATTTATACATATTAACGAGGTCCCCTCTCAGTTGCCTCTTCTCAAGGCTGCACAGGCTCAAATCCCTCTGCCTTTCCTCATAAGAGAGATTCTCCAGACTCTTGATCAACTTAGTAGCTCTCCACTGCACCTGGCTCCAGGAGCTCCACGTCTCTCTTGTACTGTGGAGCACAGTTCAAGATGACCCAGGCTGGAGACCAGTCTTTAGGAAACCCCAGCTGAGACTGAATTCATTCAGAGAATTTCATGTAAAAATTCAGTGAACAAAAACCAGCACAGTGATCATATTACACACATTAACAAGCAAGCATCACTTCAAGCAAACATCACTTATGAAGGAGGGAATATTTTGCAAAGTACTACTTACAGGTATGGAGGCACTCGGTTACTGTGGTTGGCTTGATGAGATAGCCTTTACAGATATAGCAGGTGATATGAGGATTGAAATCTTTCACCAAGTGCTTCCTCTGAGTAGCCATTCGTGGGGCAGGAAATATTGGCAGAGTGCTCGGGGCCAGAGAAGCGAGTCTGAGAGGCGTCGATACCCGCAGCTCACAAGAGCCGTAGCACTGCTCTGTGCAACTGGACTTCTCCAGGCATTTGCTCTTAATTCCGCCGGTCTCACTGGGACATGGCTCATAACTCCTGCTCCCGTGCCAGGCGAGTCATTTTCCTACCTGTAACACACGTGGAAAGAGAGAGCTATGTAAACCCGGCCGGACAGCGGCGATGCCCCGGAGGAGCAGCGTCGCCATGAACTTGGCGGGGGCACCGGGCCGTTATTTACATAACAGCAGCCCGGCCGCCGAGCTCCGAGGCCGCGCCCCGCCCCGCCAGGGTCCGGACGAGCCGCGGGGCCGGTGACAGGTGCAGGGGCCGGGGCCGGCCCCGCCGCCCTCCCTGCGCCCCCCGCCCGGCGCTCCGGGCCCGCAGGCCTTGGCGGCCCCGCGGGGAGCACCCCCCGCCGCCCCGCGGCAGCCGCGGCCGGAGAGGGCGGCGGCGCCCCGGCTGCGCCCCCGCTCGCCCGGCTCCCGTCCCTCCCCTGCCGCACCTGCGGCGCCCCCCGCTGTACCTGGCGCAGCCCCGCGGCCTCGGGCGGGCGCCCGGCGAAAGAGAAAGAGAAAGGCGGCGCGCCTCCCCCAGCTCCGGGCGCTCCCTCCTCCCCGCCGGCTGCCGCGGCCGGTCCCGGGGCGGGCGGGACGGGCGCGCAGGCGCTGCTCCCCGGCCGAGCCCCGCAGCGCCCTCCGGGCGGCGGCGGCCGGAGCCCCGCGCCGCGCCGGGGGAGCCCCTGAGGGAGCGGGGGGAGCGGGGCGGCGGCGCTGCCGGGCCAGGTGAGAGCCCGAGCGGAGCCCAGCCCGGCCCCGCCGCCGCTTCTTGAAAATAACTTCAGCTTCTGCCCCTGGAAGAGGGAAAGTTAAACCCATTTCTCCAGCCCGCAAATGCAAATGATAAACACTGGACTAAGTTAACCAAGTCCTGTGAACATACATGTGCTTTCCTCGAACTGGGATCAACTAGCCAGAGAACGGCTAAGCACCAGTGAAAGCTGTCTCCACGGTTCAGGGCACCTGCTTTTTGCTCCCCTGTTCTAAGAAATGCGCCAGGGTAATTATCCAGAAAACTAAAGCTGCCTTAATTTTTCAATTGCACTATTTCTAGAAAATTTCTTCTATGCTACTTTTAACAATAATGACAAAAACATAAGGAGGCATTCCCTGTATCAGCTGTAATGCCACCACTTTACCTGTGACGGTGTTAGGTATTTGCTTGTCCATTCTACATTTTTAGATAAATACTCACTTTGCATTGGCCTTCCAATGCACTCTCCCTTTCATCCTTGGGTAAGTGCTGCAATAGGAGAAAGCTTTAATAATTTTGGCCTGGTCCTGCCATACATTCTTACCTCTGGAATATTTACCATCCAACAGATCTCCACGCGCATCAAATCAATTGCCAATCTGAGTGAGGTGCACTAAAAACTGTTACCATTAAAGTTACAGTGCAATGATGAATACATGATAAGCCAGATATAGAGTAATTCAACAGAACATACATAATTTTTGCGGATAAAATATTCATCTTGCATAAGATTATTTGTTCACAACATGAACAGAACTTTTGAAGCAGCATAGAATCACAGAATATGCTGAGCTGGAAGGGAGGCACAAGGATCATTGAATCCAACTCCTGGCCCTGCATGGGACACTCAAAGAATCCCACCATGTTCCTGAGAACATTGTCCAACCACTTCTTGAACTCTGTCAGGCTTGGTGCTGTGACCACTTCCCCAGGGAGCCTGTTCCAATGCCCAACCACCCTCTGGGTAAAGAACCTTTTCCTAATATCCAACCTAAACCTCTGCTGAAAGCTTCATGCCATTTCCTCACGTCCTGGTCACCACAGAGAACAGATCAGTCAGTGCCTGCCCCTTTGCATTCCCTCATGAGGAAGCTGTATGCTGTGATGAGATCTCCCCTCAGTCTCCTCCAGGCTGAAACTGGACCAAGTGACCTCAGCCGCTCCTCATACAGCTTCCCCTCAAGGTCCTTCACCATTTCCGTTGTGGTGTTCGTCCTCCCTTGGACACTCTCTAATAGCTTAACATCTTTCTTATATTGTGGTGCCCAAAATTGCCCCCTGCACTCAAGGTGAGGCTGCCCTAGCGCAGAGCAGAGCAGGACACACACCTCCCTTGACCAGCTGGCCATGCTGTGCCTGATGCACCCCAGGATACAGTAACAGTTTAACAAAGAGTTAATGGCTTTGGCCTTCTCTTGTTAACTGTTGTTTGCATTATTATACCATAAAGCACACACTGATGAGCCAAAGACTAAAGAACACAGAACTCTAAACTAAACACTAAACAGAGACATAGACAACATAGACTACATACATCTCATGGGAATATTTTAGTCACCTTCTGTCAGTTTAGCAGAAGTTGACATTTTTCAGAATGAGCGTGAGAGTGGCCCTGCTTGAATGTAGGCTAAGTATGATACAGCATTATTAAACTTACATGCATGCATTTAAAACAAGCAACTGCTGATACTTTCCTGGCTGTTTCAAAATGACTGCATCTGGTAAGACTTGTTTTAAAAATAAACTGGTTTCTAAGCGAGATTTCAAATTATACTTTAAGTGTCTCACTTGAAAAAAAAAAGAACCCAACATTTTCTAAACAAATTAGTCAGCTAGGCTCACGTTTACACAGTAATGGATGCACAGTGTTCAATTCAAGCACATCAAAAACTCAGTTATGTCATTTATTATACTGTGTAGCCTACACAGTAATAATCACACGGCAGTTGCGATTACTGTAGTAATTGTGAACATACACAACCGGTATAGGTTCCCACAAGCCATACTGAAGTTCTTTTAAGGGCAACCAGTCCCATGCCAGGTAAGTGACAGTGTAGATGACAAATTCTTGCCTCATCTCTCCACTCAGTCCTGTTGGTACCAAGTGTATTTATGAGATGTTGACTGAAGGTGATGAAAGTTGAGGCTTTCAGCACCTTTCAAGACTGCAACATAAAGAGCAAACAAGAAGCAGCAAGGAAGCTCTCATTTCATTATCAGAGGAAAGCAGATCCTAAATACTTACTCCCACTTTATATCATTAAGGAAGAAAATTATTGTAATAAATGCTTATGAATTAATTATAATTTCAAAGGTAGTTAACTCCTAACATCACATACAACAGGTTTATTTAAAAATATAGGTCCGTAAGTGATATGAGAATTTTGATCTACTTATAGCAGTTAAAAGGCAACAGAGGAATAGTGTTTGATTCAAAAGAATCAAACATGAAATATGAAAGAAACAGAATCAAGAAAATGAACTTAGTTCATCAGAGTAAATATATATCATGTACAGGTGACAAGAAACATGGTATGACAGAGAGGATGATTATAGTCCTCAAATGAGTGATGAAAATACAGCTGCTCTAATTTTCTGTGTTTCTCAAACTTTTGACTTTTGCATCAACTAGCTTGTACCCAGCAGTTCCCAGAGTGTCCTCTAACACAGTGCTTACTTTTTTTTTAACCAAGTCCTTTTTTACATATGTGAACTTGTCTAACAAATAGAAAATAAAGACTGCTTTCTAAGCATTATCGACATTGAGGAGTAGTTTCTTGAAATCCTTAGAGAACTACTGGATCATCCTCATGTGAATGTAATTATTTACTTGTGAAACAGAGTAATTATTTACATTTAATAAGAATTAAATGTATCTTTTTAAAGGAACAGTCAGGACACACAAGTATATGTGAACCCCAAGCATTTAATTAAAGCAGTTCCAACATTTTCAAAAAATATCAATGTTCGACATCAGTTCCCAAGTAAATTCCAAAGAGAAAATAAACACTGGTCAATATTCAAATTCTCAGTAACATTTGAAATGAGTGAATAATTCTAATTCTGCAAGTAGATCTACATTGGTGAAATGTTACATCCCTACAGAGCTACACTGGAGTCTGTTTCTAGGCAAGTCTCCAGCTACCCTCCAGTTATCCTAAGAGTTACTTGCATTTTGTAGATGAAGAATTACTAGGACACATCTGAACTAGGAAACTCATGGCAAATAAATCCCTTCTTCTCTTAATAGAAATTGTGTAGCAATCTGAATTATATTTAGAGGGAACTGAGCCTCTAGACATTTGATGAAAATGCCATTCTACAACTTTTAAAAACTTGAAAACTTCACTGAACTGTTTAGGTTAGAAGGCACCTCCTGAGACCACCTAATCCAACCTGTCTGCTTAAGCAGGGTCAGCTAAAGCAGCTTGTCCAGGGCTGTATCCAATGGGGGTTTTGATTATCTTCATATATGGGGCTCTACCCATTCTCTGGGCAATCTGTTCCCATTTGGATCACTTCCATCGTAAAAAAAAAAAAAAAAAAAAAAAAAAAAAAAAAAAAAAAAAAAAAGTTTTCTTGTTATCAGATGGAATTTCATGTGTTTCAATTTGTGCCCATTACCTCTTGTCCTGTCAGTGGACACTGCTGAAAGCAGTTTGACTTCCTTAGCTACGTTCTCTCCCACTGAGTATTTATACATGCTGATAAGATCCCCTTGAGCCTTTTTTTTTTTCCCCAGCTGAGCAGTCCCCAAACTCTCAGCCTCACCTCAAATGAACAACACTCAAGTCCCTTAACCATCTTTATGGCCCTGGGTTGGACTCCCTTCACATCTTTCTCATTCTGAGAAGCCCAAAACTGGCCACAGCGCTCCATGGGTCACCTCATCAGTGCTGGAAAGAGAGGAAAATCAACCTCCCTTAAACTGCAGGCAACTTACTTGAATTTACTGCACATTTACTCAGGTGTGAAGAGGAGACCACATATAATAACTTGGGGATCTCTTATTTCCAGTGAAATTCCCAATCAAGTAGAACATTATCTAGAATAAAACTATATACTAAATGGCATCTTCTCAAATGCCTCTGCTCAAAGCAGGTCTAACATTAAGGTTAATTCAGATTACTCAGGGCTTCATCCAAAGAAAGTCTGTGTATATCCAAGGATGGCAATTCTACAGCCTCTCTGGACAACCTGTCTCAACCCTTGGCAATCCTCATTTTGAGTTTATTTCTTTAGGTCCACTTGGAACTTTCCTTGTTCCATCTTGTGTACTTTCTTATATATATGAATAATTTACTAACTTAACACCTAC